TTTTTTTTTTTTTTTTTTTTTTTATCAAATGTACTGATGATTATTTGATTGGTTTCTTACCAACTCTTGAAATATCTTATGACCTAAAGCTGGCTTATATGTTCTGGGTTCAAGGCTACACGCTCAATGAGGCTTCAGAATTACTGCTGGTAACTTCCCTCATGTGCATTTAAAGTACCAGTAGTTTCAAAAACCTTACTGTTGGTTAGATTTACTCCGCGTGTGTCTATTATTTTCTGCTGAATTGGAATAATAGGAATTCAGTTACATACCATACTGCAATACAAAATCTACATAACCTCATCTACCAGTTTTATTTTTTATTTTTTTTTAAATTAAAAACCAAGCTCGATAAAACTGAAAGATTACAAAGAGACAAAATTAATCTATACTACATTTACAACTCTGTTTGGAGTCGATAAACCTTTTTGTTAATTATAAATATTGTATTAACCGAAGTGTCAACTAGTTTCTTGATTTGTAATCACGGCTACAACCTTTTTGTTAATCATGAAGTACTGATCTCAAACTATATACGTCTAATGTTGCTGAATGTTCTTGGATTTGCTTTCTTTGCAGAGCAAACGACCATGCTTCCCAAAAATAGATGCTATTAAAAGTTCAACGGCTGATATTGTGAGTATATATATATATTTCATCTTTTCTTTTTATAAAATAAATATTTATATTTCATTATTTATTTGCATAATAATTTGTATCCCCAAAGCTGAAGATCGTTGGTTTTTTTAATTGAGTTCCGTGGGTTAGTTCCTTAGCTGACTTCGTAACTTGTTCTGTAATTTTAATTTTGATATATTTTTCAGCATTTAATTTAGCCATGAGTGCTCGTTAATTGGGACAATTGAAAACCTACACAAATGAGGAGAGGAGCTACCAATTTCTGTTGACTTAATTTTTTTCTTCTAAGAGGTGCTTGGAGGTTGGCTACTGTGAGTAATGAAGGCAGGAGGCTGATTATGGACTTGAGTTTTATTCCTTGCGAGTTACAGCTACTGTCTTTTTTTTTTTTCATCTTGTTTTTATAATTTCATCGCCACATGAATTTTGAGAAAGCTGACTTCGCATCTTATCATCTCTTCGTTATAATGTGTTACGAAAGTGATTGACCGATGTATTTTACTTGAAGCTTTCGGGATTCAAAAAGAAGCCTATCACTTTATCGTGGGAAGATGACCAATGCTCAATTGTCGAGGTATCTGGACTTGATATTGGATGGGGTCAGGTAACCATTTTTCTTTCTTTCTTCCTCTACCATCTGCTTGATTGATGCCTATCACTTCCTTGAACGTTTGATTTAGTTTTGGAAAACGGTATATTCGTGTAACATATGTCTTTAATTTCTTCTGTCTCTAATAGTTTTTAACTCTGCATTTCTCTTGCTTAATACTTTTCTTTAAGAGATCACAAGATATTTGCATACTCAACAGTCCTTAAATATGCATCCATACTAGGAAGTAGTTGACAATTGATGATATTTTCAAATCGTATGTTCTAAATTTGAATCCTTTGAAGTCTAGATAGCATATCAGGGTTGTAAATGGAAATTTTCCGTTTCTAGCCTTTGGTAGTTTGGATGCTATTTATATCCTAGAAACAAATGGAGATATATTCCTACTTATAAATACATGATCTAACCCCTTAATTAGTCGATGTGAGACTCCTCTCCCAACCATCCTCAACATTAAATTGAGAGGTATCAAATGGTGGCTTAGACCACTATTGGGTACAAAACAAAAGATAGACGGAATGCTCGTTAATTCTTGAAAAATAATTATTTTTGTAAAACACATTGCTCTTTCATCTTTCTAGATTGGTGGCCTTCTCTCTTGTTTCCCTCTTAGGTTTAGGCACCTCTCATCCCCAATGCCTTTGGCTGTCATTCCATCTATTGGATATATTTAGTCTCCGAGTTTTGCATTAAAAAAAGAGTTTCGACTCGCACGGATGCCAATTTAGATAACTTGATGCATCATGTGAGTTGTTGCACAAATGGAGTTAGTTGGCTATTTGCAGTCAACTTGACGTAAATGTATCGGAATCAATCAAGTCATGTAGATCTCTATAGGCTAGTCAGAAGTACATGGATCAACCCTTGAATCATTGTCTTTAACTATGCTGTTTCTATGCATTCTGCATTACATCATAGTTTTTAAAGGTATCTATCTGCACATGTCTTTGTAGCATGCAAAAGAAGAATTTTCTGTGCAATCATTTAATGAAAATTCTAACTTACAACAATAAAAGTTATTAGGCCTTAGCTTAAGAATTATCAACAACTTTGATTAGTAAGAAGTATTTATTATTATATTTGTGGAATTTTTCTCCCAGAGGGTTCTATTAAAATTCGACAAGGAACGAGGTGTATGGACTCTCAACAAGGAACTGGCGGTATAAGTGTTGATTTTTTCAATTGATTATGTTGAAATTTAATGATGCTTCATAATTGTAAATTGTAATTAGTGGTGTGGTTGTTGGTTTCTTGTAATTTTGTCTTTTGGTCTAACAGGAAGGACTATATGAATACAAATACATCATTGATGGTCAATGGAGGTGCAACGAAACCGAGCCCGTCACTCCACCCAACAAAGATGGCCACGTCAACAATTTCATTCAAGTATGATCTCCATAATTAATGAAATTATTCCTTCTTATTTATTTATTATTATTTCTTAACATGATTTCAACTTGTAGTTACTTGCTATATATATATATATATATATATATATATATATTAATAAAATAAGTCTATAAATACTAATTTCACAAGATTTGAAAATTAAAAAGTTACTCTTTTACTAAAAAATAAATAAATGCTTTCCATTTGGCCAGTTATTGTAGAAAACAAAATTTGTAATAAAACAAATATAATTTTAAACAAATCAAATAGTTATTAAATGGGAAATTAATATTTGATCGTTTGGTTTTTCTAAAATCAAGTGTCTTTGAATTTTAAAAACATTTGTGAAAAACAGATAACAAAAGCAAAACTTAAAAAATTCACCTGATTACCATTTGTGTTATTTTTTAATAGTATAACTATTTAATTTTTCAGTTGGTACTATTTTATAACTATTAAATTTTTATTTTAGACAATTAAGTCTATAAATACTTCAATATAATTTTAAAACAATATAATTTGGTGTTTTGCTTCTTTTTTTAACAAATGTTTGTATAATTCAAATTAAGCTTTGAAAATTTATAGTAGTGATTGTGATAATGAAAATTTCTGTTAGGTTGATTGTGATAATGATCCAAGTAGTGAGAGAGCTATTGTTCGAAGAAGGTTAACTGGAGATGACCCAGAGCTCACTAACGAAGAAAGAGGCAAAATAAGGCAATTTCTTGAAGCTTGCCCGGATGAAAATTGAATCAGGGTATGTTATATTGGAATTCTTTTATCTAGAATTATTATTTTTTTTTCCTTGAGTTTGAAAGGGCAATCTGGATTATATATTATTTTGAAAAATTTATATCATAGAGTATAATAATAGTGTCAATAAAGACCAAGAAATAAATGGATCGAATTTTGTTGGCACGATTACATTTAGATTCTTTGATGGGTAGATATTTTTATAGACCAAGTATTTTAAACGATGTTGGTTTATAAAATGTAATAAAAATTTCTTACATCTTTCTATGTATACTGTCTCACTTCTTTGGCTTTCTTTTCCTTTTGTTTGTTTTTTAAGTAATATAATCGTCCAAACACACTTCAAAAAATATATAAACAAACAAAAAAGTATTTTATTAGGTTAAATAAAAAAACATACCCCGTATAGTAATAAATAATCATTTTTAATTTTTTAATAACAGTTCTAAAAAAATACACTTTTATATCAAAAAAACCAATTCGAAAAAATATTTGGAAAAACAAAGGCCATTGGATAGCATTGAAATATGTTTAAAAATCAATTTGATTTGACTAAATTCTACTACGTTTGTAATATGTTTAAAAATTATCTAAATTTTAAAAATAACCTTAGTATCCTACTTTATAAAAAAGTTTTGAAAAAATTTGTATTTTTGAAAATTTTGAAAATTTGTTATTTTTGAAACCGTTAGCTCAAGAGTATGTTTTAAGCAAAGTATTAAAGTTTCAATTTATAAGAGTGTTTTTTAATTTTTGTAAAGGTATCTTTAGACTTTTTTTTTATTATAACTTTTAAAATTGAGGAAATTATTTTTATTAATTTAATTTCTCGACCTATTAAGGGTAGAAGTGATTTTGTTAAATATAACTTTTTTAAAAAAAAAGTACTCAGCGTAAATTTAAAAAAAAAAAAAAAAAAAAAAAAANAGCGTAAATTTAAAAAAAAAAAAAAAAAAAAAAAACCAAACTATTTATTTAAAATTTCTATTATTTAAAAAAAATGGCAAATATTACTTTTTATATATGTTTTAAAGCTATACTTTTGAAGTAAAATTTTAAAGCGTTAAAGAGGTGATGTGCGATGACTCAAACCTTAATCTATATGAAAAATGACATTCAAACATGTTAACGATTATTTTAACTAGAAATACTTCAGATAAATCCTCTTAAAAATAATCACTAATTCACTAATATTAAAAAAATCACTGAACCAAAATATGATTTAATTAAAAAAAAAAAAAAAAAAAAAAAAAAAAAAAAAAACACAAAGAGGAATGAAGCCTAGAGAAATATTTTTTAGCAAGTTCATAAACCGCTTAAATTCTCAAAACGCTGGAAGTAGAAAATCTAGTCTTATCCATCATTTTCAAGTTCGTGTCTAAATTGGATTTTAGAAACTGAAAGAATCATTGGAAAAAAGCTTGAAAAGAAAGTCACGTACTTGAATTTGACGGTCTTCTGTGCTCGTTGAATTGTCACAAGCATCCGTTGCTGACTCTCTATCTACAATATGCATCTCCAACCTGTAGCGAACCCCACTAGAAATAAAAGAACTAATTATCTCATCAATGAAAAAAAAAAAAAAAAAAAAAAAACTGACCATTGACGACAAATGATTTGCTTGTGATTCATGCTTAAGCTAATCTATTTTTTTCTTCTCTCTCTTGATGGTCTTTTATTTTCCAATTTAAGCCTAAGCCTTTGTTCCTATCACTTACATAAATCCCTTCCCAACATACATACATCTCCTGTTAACGAGTTTCAGCCAAATTTGTATCCATGGCCTTCAGCATTGTAATGTTGGAAGGATTCCGACCACATGAACTCCTGACGTTCTTCCCCAACTCAGTTAAAAAAACTACACCATAAAAGCAATCTCCTCAAAGAGAGAGAAAAAAAAAAAAAAAAA